TCCCTCAATCCGGCAAGCAATCTCGACCACAAGCTGGTACTCTGTACCCATCTCCACCTCTCGGGCCATACCCGATCGAATACTGGGCTGCAATTCGGCGACAAACCTCCGCACTCTCTCTGCATCTGTAGGGAGTATCATAAGTGCATGGCGAGATAACTCAGAAAACCTCACCTCGTAGTCGGTCACGGACATCTGACCCTGCTCAAGGTGCTCAAACTGATACCGCAACTCTTCCCTTTCAGAGGGCGGAATATACCTGTCCAGGAACAACTGTACGAACTAACCCCAAGTGATGGGAGGAGAACCGGCGGGCCTACCAAGAACATAGGACTGCCACCATCTACGGGCCCTGCTCTCAAGCTGAAAAGTAGTAAAGTCGACTCCATGCGACTCCAATATCCTCATAGCGTGCAGTCTGTCCCTGCACCTGTCGATGAAATCCTGAGCGTCCTCATGACGCTCACCTCCGAAGACTGGAGGGTGAAGTCTGGTCCATCTGTCTAGTAACTTCTGCGGATCGAACTCCACAGCTGGCCTAGGCTGGGGTACCTCTGCAGCAACTGGCTGAACCCCCTCTGCGGGTAGTGCACCCGGAGTCTGATATACCGCGGCTGCATGACTTGGAGCCTGAGCAGTAGGGGTCTGTGCTCCCCCTCCTGCCTGCGAAACAGCTGGGTCTGCTGGAAATAAACCAGCCTGAGTCATGGTGTCCATGAACCGGAGCATACGGCCCATGACCTCCTGAAATCCCGGCGCAGTCATGAAATCTGCCGGAGTAGGCGCAGCTGTGGGCGCCTCGCCCTGCTCTTCAGTAGTGGGATCCCTCGCAGGGTCTGCTGGTGGTGCATCTGGAATAGCTCTGGGACGCGCTCGTCCCCTACCGCGGGCTGGTGCCCTCCCCCGGCCTCTACCTCGGCCTCTGGTAACGGGGGGAGCAGCTCCTCCCGGGTCCGGAACGTCGGCGGTACGAGTCCTCACCATATGTGAGAGAATAGAAGAGGAAACTTAGTATACTGACCACTGCACGATGGAAAATGAATAAAGAGTAGTCTTTCCTAACACCCTATAGCCCCTCGAAGATAAATACAGACGTCTCTGTACCGATCTACAAGACTCTATTAGGCTTGCCCGTAACTTGTGAGACCTACGTGTACCTAGTGCTCTGATACCATGTTGTCACGACCCATTATCCATAATAGGTCATGATGGCGCCCGACACCATTTGTCAGGCCAGCCAACGCGGAAGTATAATTAAATTCTCATGTTACCCTTACCAAAAACCATTATAATAGATTTTCCCCCCAATTAAAGTCATAAACCAGTAAAGATCAATAAAATGTAAAGACAGTTATACAACCCAAAATAACGTCTACTACTGTGTGTGCCAGAACCTGGTGTCACAAGCTACGGGCAACTAGTAAAATATACACAAAATGAATAATGCCCTATCATACTGTCTGAATCAGGATAGACAGAAACAACAACAAAAAATAAAAAAATAAATACAAGGAAGACTTCTTCGGCTGCGGATCGGCAAGAAGGGAATGCAGCTCACCGTAGAAGTCCAAGATGTGCTCACTGATATGCACCAGAGTAATGTCTGGATCCACCTTCCTCGAATCCTGTACATTTAAGTACAGAAGTGTAGCATGAGTACATAAACAATATGTAGCCAGTAAGTATCCCGTCTAATCTCGAAGAAGTAGAGACGAGAGGTCGACTCGATACTTACTAAGGTCAATTAGTATTATATATATATATATATACAAGTATAGTATGTATTACAAATCAGTAGGTAATTTAACAAGTATACAACTAGTTCATGGCAAGTGGTATAAGTCAAGAACTTTACAGCATCAAGTTTATAATTTATCATATGAGATAATGGCAAAATAAAGCATCTATCGACTTTTCCACAATTAACATGCGCACATAATACCGAGGCGACGGTCCGATCCAACAGAAATAAACTGTGCACTTGCCGAGGGTCGACGGCGTGCCTATAGATGTATCTATTCATACCGAGGCGATCGGCCCGATCCACAAATAAGGACGAAATATCAAGTTCACACACATGGCACATAAATGGTCAAGAATACCAAATCAAACTTAATTAACTATACAAGTATTCTCCTATCCCCTTTTAAGTCTCTAGTACACGCTAGGTGTTCATAACAACGATTTAACATAAGAGATATATTTAATAGGCATGTTGTAGGCCCTAAGCTACCCGGACATTTATCATAGTAGTAGCTACGCACGGGCTCTCGTCACCTAACGCGTGCGTAGTCCCCGCATTTAGCAACAAACACTAAAACATTAATCCTAAGGGGACAATTCCCTCTTACGAGGTTAGAAAGGAGACTCACCTCACTCTGAAGTGCACTTCCGATATCAAGAATAGGCCCAAACCCTCAATTCGTAGCCAAACGAGCACCAACTAATTAAAATAAGCAAGAACTAGTCAATAAGAGCTTACAAGGTTAAATTCTAATTGTTTAAGCAATTTCCTAACCATAAATACAAATTTTCCTAATTTCCGACCCCGGGCCCACATACCCGGATTCCAATATTTTTCGAAAGAAGTTGTTCTCTATCACCTAAGGATCACAAATATGTGATTTCTAGTTCATTTCAAGGTAAATTATAGGATTAAATCTTAGTTTTGACTAAACCCTAGGTCTAACTCTAATCTCTTGATTTTTACCTAATTTTAGTGTTAAATCTACCTAATGTTTATGTATTTGAACTAAAAGTGGATGGGAATTACTTACCTTGCGATGATATGTGGAAACTCTCTCTTTGAAACCCCCAAAATCGCCCAAGTGTGTAGTGAAAAATGAGAGAAATGAGTTTGGGTTCGTATTAATGAACCCTTCTGCCCCCAGTGATTTTCGCTTCTGCTGAAGGAATCCCGCTTCTGCGGAAGTGAGCCGCTTCTGCGAAAAAGGCCAAGGGGGCCTGGGCCGCTTCTGCGGTCTAAACCTCGCCTTTGCGAGGCCGCTTAAGCGGAAAGGCCACCGCTTCCGCGGTTCTGGGCCTGGGCGGATGGACCGCTTCTACGGTCAGGAGTCTGCTCCTGCGGTTTCCCCTAGGCCTGGCCCCTTCCGCTTCTGTGATAAACGACCGCTTCTGCGATCCAAGAGCCGCAGAAGCGGTTATGACAGAAGCAGCAGATGAGGCTTTTTCCTAAGTTTTCAACTTCACTCGAACCTCGACCATTTGACGCTCGGGGCTCCCGAGCCCCGACCGAACATACCGACAAATTTGAAATCACGAGGCGGACCTACTCGAACCCTCGAAACACCCAAAACAACGCTAAATCGAGGAATCAACCCCCAAAACCAAATGAATCAATTTATTGAACTTCAAGTTCTTAATTCTCCTTCAACGGGTCAAAACGCCCTTAAACTACTCGGATGGACACCAAATTTTACGGGAAGGTCTTAACTGATATTTCGGACTTGTACCAAGTTTCGGAATTGAAATCCGAACCCGATACCTATGAAAACAATGATTTCTTAGTTTATTTATATCTTTGAAACTTTAACTTAACAATTTCACAAAAAAAATTCATTACTCGGGCTAGGGACCTCGGAATTCGATTCCGGGCATATGCCCAGGTCCCATATTTTCCCGCGGACCCTTAAAAATTGCCAAATCACAATTCCGGGTCCGTTTCCCCAAAATATTGACCGAAGTCAAACTTGGCCTTTTTAAAGAAACTTAAAGAAACAACTAGGCTTATCTTGCTCAAAACTCTTCTAACTTCCGAACCACCCGTCCCCGCAAGTCATAAATTAGCTAAAGCAAGTGCGGAAAGTATTATTTAAGGGAACGGGGTTTGGAAATGCAAAACGACCAGTCGGGTCGTTATAGATTAAAAAGAAAAGAGTTTCACGTAAATTGGGACGGAGGAAGTATGTGAGTTCAATTCTCACTGTCTCGTTTTTCTGCCATCTCCGATATACTCCATACTTATTTTACATTGTTATCGTATAATTCGGCTATACTAAATTATAAACCCCACCCTAATTGCATATTTAAAAATATACTTCGTCCGTCTCAAATTATTTGTCGTAGTTTCTAAAATAATTGTCTCAAATTAGTTGTCATTTTAGAAGTTCATAGACAAAATTAATTATTTTTTTCCATTTACCCTTAATAGTAATTATTATTGAAGATGGAGATATCACATAAATAAAGTAAATACTCATCGACCAGAGATTATATATTAAAACAAGTAAGGGTAAAATAGTCTAAAACTCTTTCAAATTAGTATATATTTTCTTAAAGGACTTGTAAAGAAATATGACAGATAAATTGAGATGGGGAGCTTATATTTGCATCATTGTTGAGGTGCTGTTCAGAGCAAAAAGTAAGAAAAGGTTGATTTTGCGGTACAAAATCCCCATATTAATTGTTTGGAAGTTTGGTATTTTACTTTCTTTAAGAGTGAAAAGAGCATTTTGATTCCTTAATAGTAGAAGGCATGAAGCAGAAGTTTAGTTGAGGTAGCTTTATCACTAGGAAAGGAAGATACTTAAACCTTACCCAACAATTAAAGCCAAGTACCTCCAAACAAGAACCTAGCTACCACCTCCTCATACCTTCTAAAAAACCTCCTCCATCTGGAAAAACAAAAACCCTTTTGAACTCCTCCGGTTGTTGTCAGTAGAAACAAAAACCTATCACCTCTATCAATCAGCGCCCTACCCGTCGAGCAGGAACGGAAATCGGCCTTAGTGATTTGACGGTGCTAAGTGAAAGGACTGTCGCTCAACTAATAAAAGTTACTATTTCCAATGCCAAAGCCAGTTCTAGGACCAGAACGACGCACCAATCCATTAATTTGGTGTGCAGCCATAATCTGCACTATCTTAACCGTAGCCGTGATCATCACTGGCATGGTCGTGTTCATTGGCTACATGGTCATTCGACCAAAAGTCCCTCAAATGAGCGTAGCAAGTGCCAATTTAGACAGATTTTCCTATGACATGGCCAGTGTTCTCACTCTCAGAGTCTCAATTATTATCAAAGCTGAGAATGACAATTCAAGAGCTCATGCAAGTTTCTATGAGACGAGTTACACACTTAGCTTCCATGGTGTTAAAGTGGCTTATTTAAATGCTGACCCTTTTGATGTCCCTGCAAACAGCTCCAAGTATATGTATTATCCTGTTGAATCATCGTCGATTCCATTGACGCCGGAAGAAGGAGAGGTTGCTGAGCTTTTCTTAAGGCGGAATCAAGTGGTTTTTGATATAAGAGGGAATACAAGAACAAGGTGGAGAGTAGGGTTGCTTGGTTCTGTTAAGTTCTGGTTGCATCTTAATTGTCAGCTCAAGTTTCCGCTAAATGGAACTACAATTTACCCGAGATGCAGCACGAAATCCAAATGATTCATAGGAATTCAACTAGGTATTTTGTCTTAGATTCAATTTTATGGAAAAATAAGCTAAGGCTTGTCCTTTTTTTCTGGATACAACTAGATTCTTGGAAGAAGTAATCATCAATATTCAATTGTCTACTATTCAGTACTTCTTTCTTCTTGAGAAAGGATTAACAACGTAACAGAGGTTTAACTACGTCTTTTAAATTTTTTTACACATTATTTAATTAAGAAATATATGAATAGTCTAAATCATATAAGTATTTGTTTAGATTATGTCTGTTTCTACTTTGAACATGTCATACAGTTGACACATTATTGGAGCAGTAAGAGCAAAGTTAAAAGACAAAAATAAATGACTTCAAATTTTATTTTTTTAAAAATATAAAATATTTTCATACAAATTTAGTTTACCAATAGAACTACTGTAGTATTTAGACCAACAAGTAGTACCTAGAATATATGTTCAATAATCAAAAGTGATAGTGTGGCATTGGAAATTGAAAATCCATTTTTATATTCCAATGATAAAAAAAAGTGAAAAAAAAGGAAGATCTCACCTTAATCAAGAAGTAAGAAAATATTTTGAAGTTTTGCTACGTAATAGACACCTTTTTGGCATGTATGAATGTACTAGAAAAAAAAGAGTAACACTAGGCATAAAGAAGCAGTAGAAAGCCACAGCAAAGCATTGTGCCGAAGCTTTCTGCCTACCTTGTCCGGAAGCAACTAAAAGCGAAAACATCAGTGGCCCATGTTGGTCTCGTCTTAACCGTTAAGTTATTTGGATTCGTGCTATATTAGTGGAAAGGGTTCGCTACCATGGGTTTCTCCATTCCAAAGCACCAACAGGATGGAGTCTGTAACGTAAAAATTAAATTGATATACCTATGATTTAAAGTTATGACCTGAAATTTAATGAACCCGATTATTACTATGCCAAATGCTTCTCTTGTGTCAAAGAGATTCAGTAGTTTACGTATAATTAATATTGAGTTGTATAAATTGAGGAGCTCTTGCTTTGTCCAAAGACAAATTTCGTTAATTAAACCTGGAACACTGCAGTATTTCGTCGCTACCATTCGAGTTGGGCTAATTCGACCAAAAAAGTTGTCGTTGAAAACTCGTTGAGATTTGGTGTAAGCATATAAGAGATTTGGTGCAGATTATATTAATCGTATCTGATAAATAATCCACCCAACAAGATTTTCTTTCTTAAAAATTAATCTCAAACTATTTAATTGTGGAAGAATGATTTTTGTACGATAAAGTTGAATACTAATATTCTACATTCAGTATTATCATCTATTTATCAGTTGTTGTTTGTTGTGCTATTTTGACAACATTCTCATAAATAGATTGATTGTTCATTAACCCCTTCAAAGTTTGGAGAATGACAAATGCAGAGAGCAACTTTTTTCTTTTCGAAGTTTCTAATAAATTGAACTTTTCAAATCGAACGAACTGAATCTTCCCAGATTTGAAGCCGATACATTGTATACACTTCATTATTGTTAGAAAAGGTAACTAATATTACTGTAATACTACTTTTTTATGTACTTTTAAAATACGTAAATCTGATTTTGAAAGAGTGAAGCCAGATGTCAGAAATCAAATTGAAATTTATTTGACAGTCGAAGTATTTGGCCAATTCTAATATTCATTATTTGTTCTGGGACAGAGGAAAGAAAAAAAGAGAAATGCAAGTCAGTTTCCAGCGAAAAGAAAAAGGGGGGAAAAGAGGAGAGAAAATGATTTTCTTTTAGAGAAGTTTATTTTTCGACTTTTGCTTTTATTTCGTGTCCATTTTTCGCCTTACGAAGAGAAAGTTCTCTTTGTTTTCCTGCTTTACTTTTCCTAATATAAAGCAGTGCGCCTGCCTAATTATACCTACTTTTAATTTTCTTGTCTTACTATACATACTTTACCATTTAAATTTGCACGAAATTCTTTTACACATATTTTCTTTACAAGTATTCTTTTACGTATTTATCTATCATTTTTCTAACAAAAACCTCCGCAAAAGGCCACGTAGTGCATCCATTAGGAGAAATACTTTTGCATGATGCTTTTAAATGGGGAAAAGACAGGAGTATCTATAAAAGTGAAACTATTTACCCTGCTTTATCCATAAAAGAATTCTACCCATTAAATAATTATAATCTCCTACCCATTTAATAAACAAACGGGTATATCAAAATAACTAGCCTACCTATAAAAACCCAAAAGCTGCTCAAAATTTCCGAAAATAAGCGCATAAAATTGAGATTTCCACCGACATCCCCTAATTTGAAGATCGCTAAGTGTGAAAAAATATATCGAAGATACTGATTCACATCTTGTTTTTGGATTTTGATTTCGCTGGCAAAGAAGAATGTCAAAAATTATAAGTATTACAGAAGTTTAGCGCTCAAACTTCTGAATTTTTAGCTGAAAAAATTTTATTCTCGGTTTAGATATCTGGAGATCTAGAGGTTTGATTTCGAAAAATCTTTTGTTGAAATTCAATATTTGACATCAACACTGTTGAAATTTGCATTGTTGAGATTCACTTTTGGACATAAAAGTGATTATAACTTCCGAATCATGGAAAATATACCAATTCTGCTGCAGCATAGTGGAGAATGGGATGATAACAATAATTTCGTAAATTTTCATGTTGATGCAATTCTAATAAAGACCTTTTGGAAATTTGAACAACTTCTCAGAGAAATTGCAAAGCAACTGCAAAAGGACAGTAACACAATAGTTATTCAGTATGTTGTTGCTCAAGGATATCCACCAATTACAATTTGCAGTGATATGATTGTTAGTGTTTACATGGAATTGAAAAAATCAAGTGCAGGGATGACAACACTTCCCCTGTGTGTGTCGTTTGCTAAAAATACTATAGCTGCAAGCACCTCCAATTTCGATGTTGCTCCAATTTCATCCGAAATTGCAAAATTTGAAAGCACTGATATGATTTGTATGTTTGATGTGCAAGAAGGAGATGACACCAGTTTAGAACTTGATGATGCAAACATCATAACTGATCAATTTCATCAAAAAGTTAAAAAGGACAAATTTACAAAGACAAGAACCTGTTGGCTCTCGTTATGAAACAGTATGCTGTTAGAGAAAAATGTCAATATCGGGTTAATAAATCATGCCCAAGAAGGTTCGTCTGCATGTATTCAAGTAAAAAGCTATGTGATACCTATATAGTATATAAGTATGCTAAATCAGTATACGATGCGAGTATGGAATTGTATTGGTTTGTCTGTCTTTTTTATGAGTGATACTGGTATAGTATATAAGTATTCTATATCAGTATACTATGCAAGTATATAACTATACTGATTTGTCTTTGTTATTATCAGTAAAACATAATACCAATATAGTATATATGTATGCTAAATCAGTATACTATATGAGTATATAATTGTGCTGTTTTGTCTATGTGAGTATATAATTGTGCTGCTTTATCTATGTTTTTTATTAGCAAAATATGATACTGACAGAGTATATAGGTATGCTATATGAGTATACTATGTGAGTATATAATTGTACAGATTTTTGTGTGTTTTTTTTTATCAATAAAACATGATACATAACTGTATTTGTATTATAAACAGGTATACCCTTGAATGCGTGGATGAAAGATGCACTTGGAGACTTAAAGCATCAAGCCTGCGAGCATCAAATCTTTTCAAAGTGACGGATTTCAATTCTGTCCACAGTTGTTTAACTGATAAGAGATTTTGTTCACAAAAGCAAGCTGTCTCAGCTTTTGTTGCAGTTGTGGTACAAGATAAACTTGTTGAACCGAAAACCATATATACACCAACAGATATCCAGAGAGACATTCAAAAAGCATATGGAATGGTCTTAAGCTACATGCAAGCATGGAGATCAAAAGAAAAAGCAATGCAATTGTTGAGAGGAACACCAAGTGAGTCATACAAGAAAATACCAACATATCTTTATATGTTAGAGTACGCTAACCCAGGATCGGTGACACGACTACACACTAAGGAGATGGGAGCTTCTTGTATGCATTCATAGCTATATATGCATCGATTAGAGGATGGATCTATTGTAGGCCATCAGTTGTAGTTGATGGAAGTTTTTTAAAGTCAACCTATAGAGGGACCATACTCACGGCTTCCACGCAAGACGCAGACGGTAAGAATAAAATCCAATTACATTCAGTTAAAGAAACAAAAAAGATTTTCAAATATTATATGATACCAGTATGGTATATAAGTATACCAACATAGTATATAATTATTTTGATACATACCTGCACCTACCTTTGACTACTATATGAAATACTAAATTAATATTGTGGGTACAATCCAATTACATTCAGTTAAAGAAATAAAAAAGATTTTCAAATATTATATAATACCAGTATGGTATACAAGTATAACAACAGAGTATATAGTTATTTTGCTACATACCTGCACCTACCTATGACTATACTACTATATGAAATGCTAAATTAATATAGTGTGTTGTAATTGATAATTTGTTCTTTGGGTTTACAGGACAAATTCTACCCCTCGCATATGCAGTTGTTGATTCGGAAAACGATGCATCGTGGGAGTGGTTCTTCGTGCAGTTCAGAGAAACCTATGGACAAAGAGAAGGAATGTGCATTGTATCAGACAGGCATGATGGTATATGGAGAGCAACTTCAATTGTCTATCCAGAAGTCCCTCATTGTGCATGTATGTTCCATCTGTGGAACAACATAAAGACAAACTACAGGAAGAGCTAAAAACAAATCAAAGAAGTCTACTTTGCGTTAGCAAGAGCATACACTGTTGAAGAATTCAACAGACAATGGCAGAGTTAGAAGCTATTGATAGTAATATGATAAATGGTCCCGGGCGCATTCCAAGGCAAATAGAACCATGACCATGACATCGAATATTGCGGAATCAGTAAATGCAGCAAACAAGCACGCAAGAGACCTCCCAGTTGTGAATTTTCTTGACTTTATGACAACATTGATACAAAAAT